CAAGTGACTGTGCGTTCGACGTATTTAACAACGTCACAATGCATTTATTTATTTACTCGACATCACCATTATTTATTGTGTATGTACAATGTATATATTTTGTGCAATTGTAAATAAAGACACAATACAATACTAATCGTGAATAAGTGACAAAGTGTTCTCATGCCGTTGTGTTTCAGACCACGCGTTTTGTTTGTATGCGTGAGCTCATTAATATTCATGTATATATAATGAGCTGTTCGCGTTGACTTTATTTTCGCGCAAAATTGGTCTCCGCGAAAACAGCGAAAATAAAATCCCCGCGAATATAAAGTATATCACAGTATTATTCTGTGACAAAGCATTTTCATAAAAACCGCGGAATGTCCTAGTTCGAACGCACACGATTTGACGGGCGGTCCCAATGAGCTGCAGAAAAACGCGACGAACAGTTTTTGATAATAAAACACTGCAGATTATAAACATACACTCAGAATGATCACATGTATTATCATCTGATATTATATAACACTGCAGATTATAAACATACACCCAGAATGATCACATGTATTATCATCTGATATTATATAACACATTAAGTGTGTCGGATAACGAATAATTTCAAGAGTGTGAAAACTGAAGAAAAAAAAGCTGACATGATAAGTCCCATTTCTGTTGAGACTGGCTTAATTTCACTGGTATAATTCTTGTTTTGATATGTTATATATTTTCACTGATTGTTCATGAGTTACCATGCCAGCCATTCGCATTTCACCCATTTCGATGACCCCCCCCCTCTCTAGTTTAAAATAACAGAAATAGATTCCAAGTGAAATAGAGTGCAGTACAATCATATCTAGGGGAGCATTGGTCAATTATACATAAACAACCGTTTGATGTGAACACTATGGGTACTGATGTATTGTGGTTCTCGTATACAAGTGATGCATCTTTGCTTATTGTATGACTTCAAGGAGGAGCGAAAAACATGACACAATACCGTGAATAGTTTACGAACCAAAACAGTCAGTGCATATGCGTATTTAACATTTCCTTGAACGAATAATTAGTTATTTACTACAATAACAATTTGTTTAGTTCACGATAAAACATAATCCAGTGTATTTTATCGACATTCAGTATCAAACATAAATTTTACGTCTAATCCTTGTTGTATCTTTAAGATCGGGCTTCGATTCTTACTGCCCCACGGCCACGTAATGATGAATAATCTACGAGGAACGGCCGGAGACCACCCGCAATGTATTAACCATGTTTTGTTGTTATTTACGTAATTGATTGTTTCTAATTGTTATTATTCAGCTTCTCCTAGTGCCTGTTTTAATTTGAAATATTATGTTTCTTACAGTTTACAAGCTCACAGACGTCTCAATGTTCCCAACGCTGAACCGATCAGAAACAGTTGTTAACAACACTGGTTACGGTGATCTACCTGGTGAGATGGCATCAAGACCTGTCATACCTACCCCGATATACACACAGCGCATCACATCTACCACGAGGCTACCATTACCTTTTGAGGTTCCACCTGCATCATTGATAGGAAGTTTTGTGGTTCCGGATTATACGACGGTTCGTGAGAATCACCGGATTCCAACAGATACCGCCCCTGTGATCGTGCCACAGTTCCGCGCATACGACGAAAAAGCCGCTACATTTAGGCTGAGACGCGCCCATGTACGACCCAAAACATTTCCCATCACCCGAAAGCAGCGTGAATTTATTCCCGAAAAGGAGAAAGACGAGCAGTACTGGGAAAAGCGAAGAAAAAACAACGAGGCAGCTAAACGATCACGGGAAAGGAGGCGATTAAGCGACATTATGGTTGAGTGTAAGATGGCGCAGATGTCGGATGAGAACGATAGCATGAAAGCGCAATTACTCGCACTGCAGCATCAAACTGCGCTTCTGTGTAACACGGATGAAACACGTCAAGCAAAAGCCCAATCCATGATGTATCTTAACCCTCTATACACCAATTATAACTCAACTAATCCCTTTCCAGTTCCTTACGGCATGTTTGGGCCGCCACAACCAACTTTTCCCCGCTTCACAAGCATTCCCCCAGGGTTCACAGAACACGCCGATCTCCTGAGACGTCACAACGCGCTTTCACAGCGGGCACAATATCACGAGAGATCATCTCGCCCTGAATACAGCACCAATGACGTCAAGCAGAGGGAATCTGACACAGAACGAAAAGACGATACAACTGATTGCACTTCGAGCGTAGCTTGCGCAACTCAGTCCGTGCATGGATACACTGAATGAAGAACTGGTTACCAAGGTTATTAATACAGACGAATGGCAATTCTCTGTAACCACAAATAATAAACAGCTGGTATTTAGCGAGATTCTACGACGAACCCGGTCTTCTCGTAGAGATAGTCATGCTGCTGTTTCGTCAAATAAAACTAGCTCAATTTTTTAACATCCCTGTATTATTTTATTTTAGTCAGCGTATACGAGTCACGTCATTTTAAGTTTAGTACAATTTTCGCCTCATTTTATTTATCATTTCTGTGGCATGCCAGTCATGTCAGTTTCCTTCATAAACATGAACACTCGATTTTAGTGTACGGCAAACTACTGTAAAACATGTTTAAATAGATACATAACATTTTAACGAAGTTTACTCCATGCATGAATTAAGAATCCTAATTTAGCTAAAGTGCCAACAATCTCATTGTGAAAATAAATACTTTATTTTAAATTAGCGAAATTATAGATTAGCTAAATTAGCTAAAATATCATGCTAGCTAAAAAGACATGTTTTACAGTATTAACACACATTTAAAAAAGCGATGTTCGTCGCATCGCGAATGTGCGACATTTATGTTGATACACATTAATTTCCCCACAATTCAACGCGCTCTTTTAATGGAAATCACGAGTACGAATTTTAACGTAGGCATGACGTGCACTAACTATCACCGGTAATATCTTCCAATCACCAAAGATAATACCTAATTAAAGCTTGGTAACGTCTACTCGTTGGTCTGCGCAACAGTCACAATTTGTTTATATGAGACCATATCTCGCGCATGCGTAGCGCGACGACCACCAACCTTTAATACCAAATATCAGTATATTGTACTCACTGTCTGGTGGCGGAGAAAATGAATTCGACACATAGATGGTTTATAGAATAAGAATAAAAATTAAAAATTACCTTTATATTTGCTTATTTCATGGTGAAAGTGTCACAGTCCATATAGACCCTACAACATTTGTGTCGTGTTGGTTTGTGTTTACCTATAATCGACACCTAAATGTCGACACTCGTGGAAAAAGTTATATAAGATAGGTCATACAGGTTTAAAATCATAATCATAATTGTGAATAAAATAGGCATTAAATCAATTGGACGAAATTGTATCAGCTGGCATTTAAATAAAATAATTATGGAAAAAATCAACTGTAAAAGAAACAAAAGAGAACCTTTCGTACTGCGAATGAGTGTGATTGTTCAAAATACAATAGAAAACCTTGGGCGAACTACGATATCACGTCATTCAATATCAGCATGAAATTCGAACAGAGGTAGCGAGAAGTCGGCTGATACAGATTTCCTAAGACGACGCACAGTGTCGTTAGCGTTTTAGTTTCATCATGAATAACAAATGTTGAAGTATGTCACCCAGCTCAAAATGGGTGGAAATAAAACACACACTTCAAGTTTCTCAGAAACAGCCAGATTAGGTAGTAGTGTATAATTTATATTTGGTCTACAGGTCACTTGTGCATGTCAATCAAAAACGTTACAGCAGACGTGTTTGAAGTGCGCCACCACGCATCGCGTTTCAGATGGAAAATGGAGCGCAATCTGCAATTTTGAGGATAGCGTTTATATCGCAAAAAAGTTGCAAAAAATTATTCCTGGAAAATATTCATAACTTTTATGATAGGGCATTTTGGCTGAACGCAAATCTACCCACTATCTAAACAATCTAAAACGCAGTGTATGAGGGCGTACTTCAACTACGTATGTTAGACCATTTCGCGTCAGCCTTGTAATAGCGGTGTTCAAGTAATCATGATTTTTTTTATTTTGACAAAGTTGCGCACCGACGGGAGCCCACATTGTTATACTGTACCAACTCAAGTCCCAACCCAACTTTTAACTTTGAATGAACTGTAAATGCTGCGTTCAATCAAAGAATCGAGAAAATACAATCGCAAAACGGTCGGAAATAAGTTTTCTTATCGAAATCTAGGGTAAGGGGCCAACTTGCGTGAATATAATAACAATAACAGCAAAAGAAGCTCTAGTAATAAAATGAAGTGACTTCAGAAGACTGAATGCTTTAGTTATAAACCGACGTTAGTTTACCGTTCATTTCCTACCATGACAAAAGCCGAAAACATGTTTTTTGAGCGGAGCGGATCGCCACTGGTGACCTGTGGATCTGGACAATTATCAGTAAGACTCTTTAAAACTGGCTGCTTTTGCGAGAATATTAAAGGTAGAACGCTTGGTAATTCTGTGTGTTTTGTTTACATCCATCATGATTCTGTAGGAGTTTGAGCTCACCAACATGTGTTTTTTCTGGTCATTACATACATGTGGTTTCACCAAATTGAAACAATAGTTTAATCATTGAAATTCACCCAAACATTGTCGTTTGTGGAGTTCTAATTAGTGGTATGAGACCTGATCTAGTGCCTTACATTTTGAGAACGCCATTGAAGTCAATATCGGAAATTGTATGCTGCCCTCTACGACAGAGATTGAATATACTAGTAACTGATAAAATAAAGTAAGTAAGAGTTATCTGCCAAGCGAGTCGAAGTTCCCTGCACACAAAGCTCCTTTCGTAGTACTATTACTAGTCACTGTCCTTAGTGCCCATAACTTTCGAGGCTTAAACCAGCCCTGTGGGACTGGCCCCTGGGAGCCAACCCCCGGGACCCAGCCCCTGGGGCCAGCCAGAAACTAATTATGCTTCGACATCTATTCATCACCATTCCTTAGATACCATTGACAAATTAGTATACGATGTGATAGTAATTTATTAAATAAGAAAGATAGAAAAACACATCTAATGTTCTCTTATATTACAATACATTCAAATTAGCAATATTTAATTAATTGTTTTAAACCAGCAATTGTGCGTTATGGGTTTGGATGGAGCGGCTAAAACATCACATATAGTTATGAGAATTCATACACTCATAAAACTGACAATTTGAGGTGCTTGGACACTCACTTATCAGTCTGGTTTAAAACCCAACCATATACTAGTACATGGTCAGATTTTACAGAAAAAGTGCCGTCTGTTGTCAGGAGAATAGACTAACAACCAAAGTTTGGCACAATTGTAAAAAGTGGAAAATCAAAGTCTTCGTAATATATTTGTACACAGTAATGTCATAAATTCAGTATAAAAAATGTAGACGAATATATTAATACTGATTATACTCGAAAAATACTGCTGTCATAGGATTTGGTTTTCTCATAATCAAATTTGATATCGTCATTTTTGGAAGATAATAGATCATTACGTGTTTGTGCGTTGTAAGCATTTGATAAACAAATATTCACATAAATGAATATCTCTTTAAAAATACGTAGTTATATAAATCATGCGGATTACACAATATTTGTGCGTACTCAATATAAATAAATACAGTAACCATCGTCTTTTGTACTGATGGCCGAGGGTCACTCGTCAGGTCACTGGTACAATCTACGTTCATGAAACAAAAATATGTGGGCGTCAGTTCTATAAATGTTGTGCGTATAACTGTTAAATTAATACAAACCATCAAACAAACAAAAACAATAAATTAAACAGCACGATTTATCAAAGTGAGCGATGACATCAATATAGATCGTATTGGGTGGTTCAGTCAGTATTTGTCTGGCACAGATCTGGTCAAGTATGGGGATAACCAAACTAAATTAAGGGTTGATCAATAGAAATTATGGGTGTGGAGGTAAACAAATTACTTCCTCCTTCATTTAGTTTCAAGCTATTTATTTAGAATAACGTTAACAAACTTGTAAACAAACTTTTGATTCCCTAAATCATTTTTTATAAATATAATTTTTCTGTAATTTTTCCTGTGGTATTTTGTTTTCAGATCTACCCCGAATTGTCCAATGGTCAACCTCAGTCTAAGTCCTCCCCAATTTTCTAATGGTCAACCCATTAGTCCCTCCATTGTCTAATGGCCAACCCCTCAGTCCCCCCCCCCATTGTCTAATGGTCAACTCATTAGGCCCCATCCCATTGTCTAATGTCAACATCGTTCTCAGTCCCCCTGGTCTTGTAATGGTTAACCCTTAGTCCCCCCTCATTATCTAATGGTTAACCCTTAGTCCCCCCTCATTATCTAATGGTTAACCCTTAGTCCCCCTCATTGTCTAATGGTTAACCTTATAGCTACCCTCTCCCCCATTGTCTAATAGTCAACAGTTAGTAGGTTTATTATTGCAATGTATGATGCAAGCTATACAGCATTACTCACACATTTGCAATTCCCACGTATACAGTTTAAACAATAATTGAATTTGTGCCAAGTTAGCAACACATAACATTCGAGGTCAGCCACGGAGCAAGGGCTCTGAATTAATAACTACATAACTACTAATAAATAAATAAATTACTTGGCGTACTGAATTCAACTATGCATATATTATAATAATTAATTGAGTTATAAATTACTACGTCACGTATTCAGAAAATCCTGAGTATGAAAGTGCGCATGCGCGCGGAATTGACAATCATAACAAAATCACGTGACATAATAAATCATTAAACCAAGGCTATCTTGAAAAACTGGGTCGGGCCGTGACCTTGTGTAGTAGTTCAAACCAGGCCTTCTTATTCCCGGCTTTGCAACATGGAATCATGGAATACTATTGTCGCTATTTAAAAACTAATCTGTCTATTGTTTGTTATTGCTTTTACAATCCAACAAGAAAATGAACTGAAAATTAACCCAATAAACAACTCCTCGCTTCGGTACATTGACAAATAAAAATATAATAAAGTATATCTGGTCACATAATAGAGCAATACTCAGTGGGGATCTTCTTGGTAATTTCATGCACCTGTTCCTGTGGAGCGGGTGATTTTTGTTTATCATCACATTTCGCAGACGACACTGACTGTCCGCCTTTCCCACCACTGACGATTAGATGAAAAACACCATTCGGCTTCAACGCTCGGTAAAACGCAAGGTCAAATTCATCTTCTAGTTCTTTCCCCTTATAAACAAGTTTCTGTTCTTTGACTTCTATTCCTGCATTTTCGTATATTCTCGCCTTGATTTCCGAAACTGTGGTCTTTGCATGTACTTTCAAGCAATAGAATTTATGTTCTTTTGTTCCTATAAATATTGTGATATGTTTAAATACAACATAGACGATGGACTGCGATGACACATTGCATTCGAGGAGCGAAAGGGCGTTTTCCATAATCTTTCCCATATAGATGAAATCTAGCTGACTTGAGGGTATTCCGGTTAAATTTTCATAAATTTCTTTGGTTTCCAGCACAGTTTTTATTGGGTCAACATGAAGACAGGTTTCCTCCGCTGTCAAGCTTCGTAGTCGTAGCTTCACGCAGCCTAGCGATTTGGAGTGGTTGTACAAAACCCTGACACACGAGTCGCTCCGAACTCCGCAATTCACGAGATTCGCGTTGCTGTCAACTCGATGACCGTCCATTGTCAACACTTGGTCACACCGACTGGTACCGGTAATATTCTCAACCATCGCTTTCACATCGTCAGCAATTCCCCTCTCCGTTATTGTGAACGGAAAGCTATCTCCGTTCTGCATGACAACAGTAATAGTCAGTCCAAATGCTCCAGTCCCGACGCTGGAATTGTTCTGCACTTCTTCGGTCAACATAAATTCCGTGTTCTGCAACGCACAAATAAATAGCGCGCACTGTGGCCTAGTTTCCTACAAAAACAGCTGTTTCCCTTTTGTCCTCAACGAGCGTTCTGACTTGTTTACATCCAAAGGTAACTCAATCGCCTGACTTTGTTTATGTCACTACGCCCTCTATGGCGATGACGTCACCTTTCAGTAATGTGATTCTCAGAGGTGAATGTCCGAATATAATACTGAAAAAAATGATTTCAGAAAAATAAACACGATGCTTCAGATGTACACTAAATATAATCCATGTTCATACATGTTTATGAAAAACATTACTTAAAGAACGGTGGTCATCGCACAGCGCGTGTTCAAATTGTATGTAAACAATGTATTTTACACGCGTTGTATACGTCGCTATGAGTCCCAAATCGAACAGGACGTGGCGCGACGACCACCGTCCTTTAATACTGTTGTCCTCACGAATTGTTTCTTTTTAATTACTTTGTGCCAGGAACTTCACAGAAAGCACAGGGGAGTCTGGAGGTGTTTTTTTAAAAAAATCATTGCATGAAAAAAAGTTCCTCGGATAATTTTTGACGACACAATATACTGTACATGTCAATAACTTATTGCATTAAATGTTTTGATGATTCTAGTAAAATACATCAATTCAAAAATATACAGATATATGATTTATTTATTTATTTTGAAAAGTTCAAAAAATGGAAAATTAGTTGATGAATTCAAATTAGCACATTTTTCACTTCACTACCAGTATTTCAATTTTTGTTATATCAAGATATCACTCATAAAACTCGCTCATATGCAAATGAGCTGCTATTATTATCAACTCGAACTAAGGTAAATGAAGACAAGACAATTTGCATATAATGATCTAGATTTATCTAGATTTGTGAGAATACATGTATAACATTTAGGTAATATTTGCAGAGGGTGTTATACTGAGACGTACACGTGACAAGCTGTGTACGATCGCGAGTTTCTGATAGTTTATAATAAATCGGAGAATTTAACTTGAAAATAATAAATAAATGTTATGAAGTAAAACAAACTGAATTTCACACATTACCGAATGCCTGCATGTAGGCCATCATCAGCGTGACAGAGCGTACTTAACTATATGTTAATTAGTAGTATGACGTCATATGACCTTCTTCGCCAGTTAAGACCGGCGATGAAAACGCAGGTTCCATGACACCCGGCGTATCACGTAGTGGCGCAGTATATATAGCCGTGTGTTATTGCAGTGTTATTGTTGATGTACATAGCAACTCCTCAGTAGCTGTTCCTAAATATTGATTAACGAAATAAAAATATAGGTACTCACTTTTCGCTGTGGTGGCTGTTGATAACAATCTAACGATGTCGAGACGAACGATTGTAGAGTCGCCGATATTGTCGAGTGCTATTCTATGTTTACTTCCGCTTCGTTGTGACGCTACCTTTATATAACATCGCATGAGTCACAGGACCAGTTCATACCGGATTGTTACGTTTTTTGCCTTCCTTCCCGCATGACTTTGGACCCAGTGTGATATTTCAGTGCAATAACCAGCTGGAATCTTATCAATGACAGTACGTGTTTTGGTGAAGCACCCCACCCCCTCCCCCGGAAGGGAGGGAGCGTTTATGATGTCAGACACATGGTCATTGTTGATATCCTACCGGCTTGCGTATTAGATCATATATGTATTATAATGCAACATTTTTATTAAATATGCCCCGTTGTTTATACATTATCCCAGTAACACGTAGTCACCTGTTAGTGTCCGAAATATTGCTTTGGATGTCGAAGGAATTTAAAGAGCGCCCTGGCATTAATCCGCAATTCCAGCGTCGTAATCGAATAAATTTATCATATTACATTTTTGTTTTAAGGCCATCATACAAATTAATCGCCGGATTTCCCTGATTTTTACCATATGGTTTTATTATGCTGTTGCTCACAAACCCCGGGAAAAAATGTATGGTTACAAAACTACTTTTCGCGCCAAAATGTGTCAAACACCCATGAAAATGTCGATTTTCCAGTCATTTGCCATTGGTTCCCATGGTAAAAATGTTACGTCATATTTTAAAATTTTGTTCGGGTACATACATTGAAAAATGACTGTGTCCTTCTAATGCTACACGAATTCCTATGAAAATAGTTTGAAAACGGTACCATTTTAAATGTTTTTTCAGACAGGTTTTCTCCGAATACAAATATTTTGTACTGGGTAACAAACCGTAATTTCGATGACTGATATGTAAATCAAGAATTATGTAACATTTTGAAAACAAATAAACGTGATATTTTTTTTACTTGACATTGACCTTAGGTTCGGTTGAATATCCGCAAACGACCGTACAGTGGTGACAGCTTAGTGGTCTTTTAGGGAAACTCGCAAGTATACATACTGCACGTACACCATGCTATCATAACACATGCATATTGTCTCCAACATAAAGCAGACATGTTTTCACACGACTCCATGACGCTATATACTATTATAATCAAATATAATCGTCACAAGCCTCCATGTGACTGTCTTATCAGGTGACTGACAACTTACAAAACACAGCACACCAGATTGTGAAACTATCAAATAATACGAGATTGTTACGAGGATACTGCAAAGTATGCACAAAGACAGTACAATGGGAGTATCGACCGATGCGTGGAGGTCGATGCGAGCGAGGTATGGTTCAGCCACAGTTACAGTCCGAGCTATGGTTCAGCCACAGTTACAATCTGAGCTATCTTTCAGCCACAGTTACAGTCCGAGCTATGGTTCAGCCATAGTTACAGTCTGAGCTATGGTTCAGCCACAATTACAGTTAGAGCTCTGGTTCAGCCACAGCGACAGTCTGAGCTATGGTTCAACCACGGTTACAGTCTGAACTATTGTTTAGCCACAGTTACAGTCTGAGCTATGGTTCAGCCACAGTTACAGTCTGAGCTATGGTTTAGCCACAGTTACAGTCTGAGCTATGGTTCAGCAACAGTTACAATCTGAGCTATGTCTCAGCCACAGTTACAGTCCGAACTATGGTTCAGCCACAGTTGCAGTCCGAGCTATGGTTCAGCCACAGTTACAGTGTGAAGTATGGTTTAGCCACAGTTACAGTCTGAACTATAGTTCAGCCACAGTTACAGTCCGAGCTATGGTTCAGCCACAGTTACAGTCTGAACTATAGTTTAGCCACAGTTACAGTCTGAACTATAGTTCAGCCACAGTTACAGTCTGAACTATGGTTCAGCCACAGTTACAATCCGAGCTATGGTTCAGCCACAGTTACAGTCTGAGCTATGATTTAGCTACAGTTACAGTCCGAGCTTTGGTCAGCCACAGTTACAGTCCGAGCTATGGTGCAGCCACAGTTACAGTCTGAACTATGGTTCAGCCACAGTTACAGTCTGAACTATGGTTCAGCCACAGTTACAGTCCGAGCTATAGTTCAGCCACAGTTACAGTCCGAGCTATGGTTTAACCACAGTTACAGTCTGAACTATGGTTCAGCCACAGTTACAGTCTGAAGTATGGTTTAGCCACGTTACAGTCCGAGCTATGGTTCAGCCACAGTTACAGTCCGAGCTATGGTTCAGCCACAGTTACAGTCTGAGCTCTGGTTCAGCCACAGCTACAGTGTGAACTATTGTTTAGCCACAGTTACAGTCTGAGCTATGGTTTAGCGACAGTTGCAGTCCGAGCTATGGTTCAGCCACAGTTACAGTCCGAGCTATAGTTCAGCCACAGTTACAGTCTGAGCTATGGTTTAGCCACAGTTACAGTCCGAGCTATGGTTCAGCCACAGTCACAGTCCGAGCTAAGGTTCAGCCACAGTTACAGTCCGAGCTATGGTTCAGCCACAGTTACAGTCTGAGCTATGGTTTAGCCACAGTTACAGTCCGAGCTATGGTTCAGCCAGAGTTACAGTCCGAGCTATGGTTCAGCCATAGATACAGTCTGAACAATGGTTCAGCCACAGTTACAGTCCGAGGTGTGGTTCAGCCACAGTTACAGTCCAAGCTATAGTTCAGCCACAGTTACAGTCTGAGCTATGATTT